CTGAGATCAGAATTTATAGTCCTGTTTTTTTTTCCTTAAATTCAGCTAAAGCATAATACATTCTTCTTCAACCATTTACTGTTACTTGGTGTACATCTCTCTGCTTCAAAAGTGTTTCTTGTAAACAACCTATTATAGGATTCTGGTTTTTAATTTATTTTGCTATCTGCTTCCATTTTATGGGAGAGTTCATCCCATTCACATTCACAGTTATGCTTACTAACTGTATATTTCTCTCCATCTTATCCTACCCCCATCCTTTATATTTTTCTCTCTCTTTTCACCCTTTCCTGCCTTAGAAGTGTTTTGCTGCTGGCCACTGCCTCCCTCAATCTGTCCCCCCTTTTTTTCTATCAGCCCCCTTTCCCTTTTCTTTCCCTTTTTTTTCCTTTTAGTTCTACACTGCCTTCTATCAGCCACTCCCCCACTATCCCATAGGGTAAGATAAATTTCTATACCCAATTGAATGTGTATGTTATTCCCTTTTTGAGCTAAATCTGATGAGACTAAGGTTCAAACAATGCTCGTTCCTCCCTTCTTTCCCTTTACTGTAATAGGTCTTTTGTGTCTTTCCATGTGATATAATTTACCCTATTTTGCCTCCCTCTTTGCTTTTCTCCCAGTACAATCTTTTTTTTCCAGCCTTTATTTTTTTTCTTAGTATCATCACATCAATACCAACTTATACCCACACCCTGTGTTTACGTATACTTCTTCTAACTGCTCTAATAGAGACACAGTTCTCAAGAGTTATAAATATCATCTTCCCATCTAAGAATGTAAACAGTTTAATCTTATTTAATAATATGTTTCTTTCTTTCTTTCCTGTTTATCTTTTTATGCTTCTCGTGAGTCTTGTATTTGAAGATCAAATTTTTTGTTAAGCTCTGGTCTTTTCATCAGGGAAGTTTGAAAGTCCCCTATTTCATTAAGTGACCGTCTTTTCCCTTCAAAGATTATGCTCAATTTTGCTGGGTAGTTGGTTCTCTGTTGTAATCCAAGCTCCTTTGTCTTCCAGAATATCATATTCCAAGTCCTGCAATCCTTTAATGTAGAAGCTGCTAAGTTCTGTGTAATCCTGACTGTGACTTCATATTTGAATTGTTTCTTTCAGGCTGCTTGAAATATTTTCTTTTTGATCTTATAATTCTGGAATTTGGTTACAATATTCCTGGTTTTCATTTTTGTTTCTCATTTGGTGATCTCTTTCAGGAGATGATCATGGGATTCTTTCAATTACTATTTTACTCTCTAGTTCCAGGACCTCAGAGCAGTTTTCCTTGGCATCCAGGCTCTTTTTCTTTTCTTTCTTTTTTTTTTTCTTTTTGAGTATGTCTTTGAGGTAGTCTAATAATTGTTAAATTATCTCTCCTGTATCTATTTTCCAGGAAAGTTGTTTTTCCAGTGAGATATTTTTTTCATTCTTTAGATTTTGTTTGACTGATTCTTGATGTCTCAAAGAATCATTTGCTTCAACTTGCCAAATTCTTATTTTTAAGGAATTATTTTATTCAGTTAGCTTTTGTCCCTCCTTTTCCACTTGACCCGTTCTACTTTTTGAGGAGTCATTTTCTTCCATGCCTTTTTTTTCCCATTTGGCCAATTTTGTTTTTTAAGAAATTGTTTTCTTCAGTTCTTTTCCCTCCTTTTCCAAGTTGTTGACTCACTCTTGTATACACCCCATCTCTTTTCCCAATGTTTTCTTCTATTTCTCTTATTTGATTTTTTAAAATCCTTTTTGAGCTCTTCTAAGGAGGATTTTTGGGCTTCAGACCAATTCATCTTCACCTTTGAAGTTTTGCATGTAGGCATTTTGACATTGTTGTCCTTTTCTGAGTTTGTGTATTGATCTTCCTTGTTACAATAGTAGGTTTCCATAGTCAGAGCTCTTTTATGTTTTTGTTCATTATTAAGCTTATTTAAGGACTTTTAAAGTTGAGCTCTGCTCCTGGGCATAAGGGACACTGTCTCATGCTTCTTGTACTGGGGGCTGGGGGCCTAGTCACTGCCTTTCTGCATCAGGAACTCAGGTGCTTTTGGGTTGCTCATTGCGCTGAGGTGGCCAGGCCTAGTTGTGTTTGTTGTGCTGGGAGTTCTAGGGCTGGCAGTTTTCCTCCTACACTGGGGCTAGAGGCCTCAGAGTTGGCCTGCTGTGCAAGGATGGAGGGGCCTTGGTTGCTGATCTGTGCTGTGGCTAAGAGCCTCCCACTGTCTTGCCCAGAAAAATATCTACACTGGGCTGCATTTCTCTTTTACCCAATTGAGACAAACTTTTCCTGAAATCCTTTTAAGTTATCTTAAGCTAGAAAATTTCACTTCATCTTTTTGTAGGTTCTATCACTCCTGAATCCATTTAGAGGCTTGTTTTAACATTGTTTCTGAGCAAAACTGGGGAGAGCTCAGAAAACTTTCTGGCTTTTCTCTACCATTTGGCTCAATCACTATTTTTAGTTGCTTTTCTCTGACCTCATGTAATAATATTCTAATATGTCTCTCTGGCTCAACATTGTCTCCATTACAAATGATCTTTGAAAAAGGTGTCAAAATGACTTTTTTTTCTAGAGCATAGGTCTTCCCTTGATGTCTCCCTACTTAACAAAGTCTAGGCTTCCTACTACCTCCGGCCTAAAATATAAAGTATTTTCTTTTGCATCTAAGGCTCCTTCCAACCCCACAGTCTTCCTACCTATTCTGTCTTTCTATGTCTCCTTCCCTCCTCACACTGGATGAGCTATCTATACTAGCATCCTTGCTTTTTATTTTTTTAAGTTAATTATTTTCCTATTTTATTATTTTTTTTTATTTTTAAGTTATGGAATAAAACAAACATTTCCATAATATAATGCAATAAAAATATCATTGCACATGAAACTGCAAATCTACAATGCCCAACTTGCTATTCTTTTCAAATACACAACAAAATTTTCATGGAAATTACTTTTTTCTTCCCTCCCACAACCACCTTAGAGATGGCTACATTAGACATAAATAGGTGTGTGTGTGTGTGTGTGTTTGTGTGTATAAAATTATTCTATATATATTTCTATTTATCAGTTCTTTCTCTGGATGCAAATAACATCTTTCTTCATATGTCTTTTATAGTTAATTTGGGTATTTATAATAGTCAGATAACTTATTCATAAGTAGTTCTTAAAACAGTATTGCTGTTCCTGTATACAATGTTTTCTTGGTTCCACTCATTTCACTCTTCAATATTCTGGGCAAGTCTTTCCATATTTTTTCTAATATCATTGAGCTCATCATTTCTCACAGCACAGTAATGTTCCATCATAATCATATGCCGCAACTTGTTCAGCCATTCCTCAATTGATGGGCATCCCTGAAATTTCCACTTCTTTGCTATCACAAAGGGAGCTGCTAAAACATTTTAGAACACATAAGTTCTTTTCCTTTTTCCCTAATTATCTTCAGAAATAGACCAAGTAGTGATATTGCTGGGTCAAACAGCATATTTAGCTTAATAACTCTTTGGGCATAATTCCATATTGCTCTCTAAAATGTTTGGATCAGTTCACAATTCCACCAACAAGTCCTAATTTTCCTTATTCCACGATACTATGTCTTTCATCTCTCTGCATTTCTACTGGCTATTCTCTCTGCCTGAAATTCTCTCTCTCCCCACCTCCAAATCTTAGAATCTGTGGCTTGTTTAAAGTATTCAACTCAAATCTCTTCTTCTGTGAGAGATCCGGTTTTTTTTTAAATTATTTTATTTTGATTTATCAACAATCACTTCCATAAGCTTTTGAGTTTTAATTTTTTCTACCTCTTTCTCCTCACCTCCCTCCCTAAGATAACATGGAATCTAATATAGGCTATACATATATATTCGTATTAAACATATTTTCACATTAATCATGTTGTAAGGAAGAATTAGAACCAATAGAAGGAACCACAAGAGGAAACAAAACAAAACAGAAGGGAAAAAAAAGAGCAAATAGTATGCTTCAATCTTCATTCAAACTCCATAGTTCTTTCCTGGATGTGGATAGCATTTTCCATCTTGAGACTTTTCGAGATGTCTTAGATCCTTGCATTCCCGAGAAGGGCTAAGTCTATCAAAGTTAGTCATCGTACAACATTGCTGTCACTGTGTACAACATTCTCTTGGCTCTGCCCCATTCACTCAGCATCAGAGCATACAAATCTTTCCAGATTTTTTGGAAGTCTGCCTGCTTATCATTTCTTATAGGACAGTAGTATTCCATTACATTCATATGCCACAGCTTGTTCAGCCATTCCTTAATTGATGGGCATCCCCTCATTTTCCAATTATTTGCCACCACAAAAAGAGCAGGTATAAATATTTTTGTACATGTGGGTCATTTTCCCATTGTTATGATCTCTTTGGGATAAAACCTTAGAAGTGCTATTTCTGGGTCAAAAGGTATACACATTTTTATAGCCCTTTGGCCATAGTTCCAAATTGTTCTCCAAAATGATTGGATCATTTCACAACTCCACCAGCTATGCATTAGTGTTACAATTTTCCCACATCCTCTCCAACAATTCATTATTTTCCTGTTTTATCATGTTGGCCAATCTGATAGGTGTGATGTGTGTAAGAGAACTTTCTCCACCCCCCCCCCCCAAATAGATCATGTTTTCCTCTCTGAGGATGCCTTTCATTTATTCTATATGTTCTAATTTACATGTTTTTTTTCCCCATTAGAATATAAGCTCCTGAAGGGCAGGGGGTATTTTTTTTCTTCATTTTGTCTGTGATTAGTACAATGATTGCCATGTAAGAGTTTAGTAAATGCTGGTTCATTTGGTGAGTAAATATTGAATGACTGAATATAGTATTGAATGACTGACATTTGTTTCCCAAATCCATTCTGGACCAGTTGAGTGACCAAAACTCCATCAATCATCACTTGCTTTCCCTCTGCCTTTCTTACATACTGAATTTCACTTTGCATGTGAGTCTTTTTCCTTAGGATCACAATGTTAGTAATCTATTTTGTTCTCATTCCTAGTGAGAATGTCTCAGTTATCGGAGATAAAACAATAACCAGGGTACTGAGCATCAAAAAAGTGACCTCTGATGACCTGAAGCGCAACTACACTTGTCATGCAAGAAATGCCAAAGGAGAATCTGTAAGGCGAGCCACCGTCAAACAGCTAGGTAACCTCACCTGTGGGGCCACAGTGTGGGAGCACTCACACTACAACAGCCATTCTTTACTGGAGGCTCAAAACTTGTTGGGGATTTTTTTCATGTTTTTATATTTGTATTTAAACATAATTAGCTTCCTTCATAATCCTACATATTTCATTTTGTGCTTAAAAAAACCAACACATTGTTGTAGAAGTCCATAGGCTTCACCAGACATGGCCAAAGGCATCTAGGATACACACAGATACACACATACACACAGAGACACAGACACAAACATACACACACAAAAATAACATGAAACATTCTGGAACTAGAATGACCACGGTAACATATCACACTGCAGTCCTGGTCAGCTTTGAAGAGAAGGTTCAGGGAAGCCATGGCCACTGATTGACTTCAAGAATTTGAGCATCTTTCATGTGGAGGGGGTGGTGTTGTTCTGTTCACAGGAAAGGGTAAAAGTTAAAAAGGGACAGATGCAGTTCCAGCATCTGGAAAATCTTCCTAACACTTATAACTGTCCCCAAATAGAATGGGATACATTGGATGGTAATGACACTCCCATCATTGGACCATTCAAGCAAATATTTGATTACATTTGTTAGGTATGTTGTAGTGGGGCTTCCTTTTTGGGTAATAGTTGAACTAGATGGTCTTCAAGGTCACTTTCTAACTCTAAAATTCTGTGGTTCTTTAAACTTTCTGAGGGGAGGGAATATGCTGTATTTGTCTGTTATGTTTTCCAGTGGCTAATGTGCCTAATTATATTGCAATGTAATGAATCACACATAGAAGTTAAATTGGTTGTTAAATAACTTATTTTTTATCTTATTTCCCCACAAACTGCTTTCTGTCCTCTATCCAATGGCATCAACTTTGAGTGAATGCCCCACTGCTATTCAGCTTTACTTCGTGGAATCTTCTAGGTATCTCCTGATGTGTCAGAGAACAATTCCAGTTTGAGGTCAATTTGTCTCAAGGACCACATCAGCCACTTTGGTTGGCAGCATGCATAGATCCTGTCTCAGGGCTGTTTGATCTGAACAATAGAAAAGTCCTTTCAGAAATAAATGTCACCTTCTATTCCTGACTGAAAGGCCTGAGGAGATAAGGCAGCATCACAGAGGGACAATAACTTCCTGATCATTAGGAAATATCACTGCCAAAGTTAGGACAATTAACCTTGGGGAGTGACAGTCAATGGTTTATTGTTGACTTTTTATAAAATATCCATATAAAGTGAGCTTAAATAGGGGAGCCAATGACCAAGCTGACAGGGAATTATCGCAGGGCTCTTCCTGACTGCAGTAGCACCATGCTTCACCTTCTCAAGCAGAGCTTTCAGAGTGTAACATGGCAGATTCAAAAAGTCAAGCCCCATCAAAGGAGGAGCAAGGGCCTTATGTGGTCTTAGTGTTACCCTGACAGCCCAACTACTCAATGGAATGGGGAAACTGAACTTCCGAGCCCCCTGGCCTCCCAGGCTTACAGCAGCAGCAGGATGCACCCAGGCCCAGTAAGGGAAGTCGATTGCCTCTTGCTGCTTGACTCTGCTAGTCAACCTTTTAAAGCCATATGCACCTGATTGATCCAAGTTAGAGGCCCATTTGGTTGGACTGAACTGATTTTTTTTCTTTGTTACAAGGATAGGCGTAGTTGTCAGTGGGTTTAAGAGAAGGGTAGATATAAGAATGAGGTTTTCTAGGCAGTACAGTGGATAAAGTGTTGGGCCTGGAGTCAGCAAGATTCATCTCACTGAGTTTAAATCTGGCCTCAGACACTTGCTGGCTGAGTGCAAGTCACTTAACCCCGTTTGACTCAGTTCCTTCATATGTAAAATGAGCTGGAGAAGGAAATGGCAAACTGCTTTAGAATCTTTGCCAAGATTTTGTGATGAAATAAGGTCACCAAGAGTCAGACACAACTGAAAAATGATTGGATAACCACAAAACAGATCTAAGAATGACTGTGATGTAAAAGCAGAAGGAATCTGTAAAAAAAAATTAAAAAGAAAATGGAAGAAAAACAGAGAATTGATATGAGCTTCTTCTAGTAATGCTCTATATACAGTTGATGTATGGTATATATGTGTATGTATGTGTGTATTGTTTTGTGGGGGGGGTATTCATCCACGTAGGTTGGCAAAAGAGGAATGGGTGGCCTCTGGATGCTGCTGGGTGGCTCCTCATTTCTAGAGGTCTTCAAGCCCAAAGGTTGGTTGATCAAGTGTTAAGAAGGTTATATTGGTGATTCTTTTGGGATAGGAGACGACCTGCATGGCTGCTTCCCGAGGTTGATCCCACTGAGGGGATTCTCTGATTCTGTGGCCTGTCCTATGATCCACACGTTGACCATTGCTTTAGCCTCCGCCCTTTTGGACTTCCCCTGCTGACAACTGTACTTGATGAACAATTCTCTTCCTTTTACTGTTGAATATTGGTTGTTACATCCCTGATTTGATCCATGACACCATTTACTGGTAGAGACAGATGATCATAGATTTGGCATTGGAGGGGACCCCAGGAAACATCTAATCCAGACTCTTCATTTTACAAATGAGGAAACTGAGGGTCATAGGGATTGAGCAGCATTCCCAAGTTCACCCAGATCTTGACTGCCAGTCCCCTGGCATTCTTTTATTATATTGTCTGGATCTGAATCTCTGCTTATGGCTCTAGCATCACACACCAGGGCTGGGAGAAGGTACGTCAGCTTTTCTACTACAAGGAAATTGTCCCTAGACAGTCGAATGAGAAAGAAGAAGAAGCTAATATCCTAGATTAACATGTTATTAAAATTGTTTAAATGAGATGCAGATGGCACAAATATAAGAGCCATTCCTGATCCACCTTCATACTGGAGCCCTCCCTCTGTTGTTCATTTCCAATTAGTCCTTTTTCTCGCTCGCTTGTCATAGTTGTTTGCATGTTTTCTTCTCTAGCCAGTTGTGAAGTCTTTGAGAGAAGGGACAGTTTTTTTTTGCCTTTCTTTGTACCTTTAACTCCCAGAACAGTGCCTGACACATAGTTAGCACTTAATAAGTCCTTGATGACCAAATGACTGTACATAGCAATGACTTTAGCCATCCATCCATCCATCCATCCATCCATCCATCCATCCATTTATTCATATCTTATACACAGCATTGGGGTATATGGGATGTTCAGGAGGACTAGCACCTCTGGTATGAGGGCTTGTCAAGCTCTTTTCATGGATGCTCATCCAACTTTGGTGTCCACCTGTCACCCATGTCCCACCTGTGGCCCCAAGAAGCTGTTACACGCACAGTGACCACATCTGGTAAACCATCTTGGCAGAATGGCTACACCAGGTTGAATGTAACTGACAGGCCGCAAACCCATTGATGAGTTGGGGGGATGTCTACCTCAAATATATGAAGACTTCCCCCAGTGTAATAGGTGGATGAGAACAATTTGTTCCAATGGCCATGAACAAGGCTGAAGCAGGCCCTGTGGAGTACTTAGAGCTTGGTCAGACATTGAAGATACTAAGGTCATCCACTGCATCCCAGGCCATCCCCAGTCTTCTTGACTTCTGCCTTACCACTAGATTTCAATGACTTAGGAAGAGAGAGTGAGGCTGGCATCTTTGTGAAACTCTGGCTCATTTAAATGCAATTTGTACCCAAGTCAAGGCATCCCCCATGATGTCATTGGTCCTCTTTGATAACGAAGAAAAAACAACAACAACACTCAGCATTCCGTTTCCCAAGTCTGGGGACTTTCCCTGTCTGCCCTCCGTGTCCAGGATTTTCTCCCATTTAATCTCTTCCTCCTAGCTTCCATGGCTTCTTTTAAATCTCAGCTAAAACGCCATCTTGCTTGAGAACCTTTCCCTAGACTCTTTAATCTCAGTTGTTACTCAGTCACGTCTAATGTTTTGTGACCCCATTTATGATTTTCTTGGCGAAATGTATTGGAGTGGTTTGCCATGATCTTCTTCAGCTCATTTTACAGATGGAGAAACTGAGGCAAACAGAGTTAAGTAACTTGCCCAGGGTGACACAGCTAGTAAGTGTCTAAGGCCAGATTTAACTGAGGTCTTCCTGACTCTAGGCCGGGCGCTCAATCCACACAACACCCAGCTGCCAGTAATCTTAATGCCTTTCCCAGATCATTTCCAATTTAAACTATATTGAGCTTATTTGTTCATGGTTGCCTTCAAGTCCTCCCCCCCATCCCTCACCCTCACCCCCGATTGAGATCTCCTTGAGAACAGAGCTATCTTTTTGCCTTTCTTTGTATCCCTAGTACTCATTACAGGGCCTGGAACACAGTAAGTACTTAATAAATGCTTGCTGACTTAACAACAACCTGGCTTCAATTGATCTTTACTAAATTAATCTGTCTTATTGCCTACCATGGGCCTTGCCTCCTTGCCTCCTTTCCCTCTTGATGGTCTTCATCTATAGAACATTCTATCTCTCACCTCTGTGTGATTGGAAAGGCTGCCACCTCCATGCCTGAAATATGATCTTTCCATATGTGAAATTGGATATTTCTCTGTGTGTGTATGTGGTACTTCTTCCCCAATACCTATGAGCTCCTTGAGTGCAGGAAAGATTTCCCTTTTGAGTTTGTGTCCTTAACACAGTAAGACCCATAGGAAAAACTCCTCCAGGGTTGTTTGACCTGAACTGAATGCGGTCTTCTAAAGAACATTGCTTTCAAAAGCCTTCCTAATTCCTTTTAATGCCCTCCTTATGGATGATCTTGATGCATTTGGAGATTATCTTCATCAAATTTGTGTAGAAATGGGAAGGCAGCCAAAGGGTCACCAACTATTGATGCTCTCTTGGGTACTTTTTTTGGCTAGTAAGATCCAAGATCCTCCCACCCCCGTACTATGGTGTCCCTTCATTCAGGTACCTTAAGAATCTAATCATTCTACCATCTAAAAAACATTTATTAAAGACTTACTGTTCTCTAGGCATTTTGTTAAGTGCTAAAGACACAAAGAATGACAACCTTTCCATGCCCCATCAAAACAACAAAAAAAGGTGTCCATCTCCTCAAGAATTTCATCTTATAATGCAAATAACCATGTATATGCTAGTGTACATATGTATATATATATATACACACATACATAATACACATGTTTTTGTGTATACACACACACACACATACTATCAATGAAAGATAATCTCAGAAGAAATGTTCTAGCAGTGGGAGGAGATACCTTCTTGCAGAAGAAAGAATTTAAGCTGAGTCATAAGGGAGGCCCGTGTACTGGATAATAAAATACTTGAAGGGCAGGAAGGTATAAAAATTCTGGGAAGGCAAGAAGGGGCCAGGGTGTGAAAGCCTTTAAAAGTCAAATAAGGGATTTTATATTTGATCTTGGAAGTCATTGGGAGCCACTGATTTATTCAGTAAGGAGGTAATGTGGACAGTTCTATGCTTCAGAAAAATTGCTTTGGGAGATAAAAAGAGGATGGATTGGAGTGGGGAGTGACTTGAGGCAAGTAGAAAAATCAGGAAACTGTTGCAGAAATCTCTCCTTTAACACCTTCAAAACTGTATTACCTGGACCTTTGATTATTTTGTTCAGTCATTTCTCAGTCATATCCGACTCTTTGTGACACCATTTGGGGTTTTCTTGGCAGAGATACTGGAATGGTTTTCTATTCCTTTCTCCAGCTCACTTTACACATGAGGAAACTAAGGCAAATAGCATAAGTGACTTGCCCAGGGTCACACTGCTAAAAAGTATCTGAGGCCAGGCTTGAACTCAGTGAGATGAGTCTTCCTGACTCCAGGCCTGGCATTCTACCCACTGAGGCATCTAGCTACCCCTACTTGCTCTTATTCTCACCTGACTTCAACTCTACAGAATAAGATGCCACTTTCAGGATAAGCTCATCACTTTTAATCTCATCACCAGGATGTTACCAGAAGCCCTGATACCACCCTCCTCAGCCTCCTCTCCACTCTGATTGGAGTGCTAGAGAATAGAGTACCAAACTCCTCCCAGATCCTTCCTTTATAGAGGGCAGGAATTGGACTCGCAGCTCAATCCCCTGTGCCTGGTTTCAGCTCTGGAACAAAATGTCCCTCCACCACATATCCCTTGATATCCCATCCCCACCTCCCTTTCATGCCTTTTTTAGGAGTTATTTTCACCCATCAGATTGCAAGCTCTTTGAGGGGAGAGGCTTCTTTTTCTTACTTGTTTCCACAACACTTAGTACAATGCCTGGCACATAGTAGGCACTTAATGTTTATTGAGTTAAATTGCTCTGGCATAGCTTCTCCCCCCCCATCTTTATTGTCTTCAGCATCATTTCTACCTCCTCAAGATTCACAGCTGGCATCCTGATGTCCATGTTTAAATTCAGTGGTTCTATTGTCCTTGACAGTGAAGGATGGTATATAAAGCTTGTCATATTTTTACCAACTTTTGTCTGATTTTGACCTTTTCCAGTGTAACCCTTAAGTGCCTACAAACAAAATAAAGCAAAAAAAAAACAAAAAACAAAAACCTTTCCATAGTTGACTTTCTCACCAAATATACTTTAAACTATTTTCTCCTCCAATTTTTGCTGTCTTATCAAGAAACACTTTATTTCTAAAAATTTTTGATGACTGAGTTTCCCAATCTTGCCCAAACTGAAGTTGCAGTGGTCACTGATGGCCCTGATCCCATAATGATCAGCATGGGGGCATTGGCATGCTCTATTTCTGAGCTGGATTGGTTCACTCCTTTGTAGGTATCCTTGTACCTCCACACTCTTTGGGGCTTACAATAATGGCACCAGACTCAGAATGGATGCTTGATCAATCTAGCCCACTGCAGCTCAGAACCCCCAAGCTCTAGTGATTCACTAGCCTCAGCCTCCCCCAGCAGCAGGTATCATAGGAGTAGGCACCTACACCAGGCTAAGCAACCTCCTCCCACTCTTCTACCATCTGTTCCATAAGATTTTGCAAACTAGTTTATATTTCTAACCTTTACCAATTGAAAGGAAATTAATTTCAACAGGATATTCTAAGGGCTTGTGTCACAAGTACTTAGCATATGTTTGGATTAATTCAATGCCTTTCCATTGTAACTAGGATTCAGGTCCTTATCTTGCACTTTGCTAACTATTTAACCTTGGGCAAGCTAGTCAATAACTCTTAGCCTCAGTTTTCTCAGTTTTCTTTTAGCCTGTAAAATGAAAATATTAATTCCTACCCTGCCTTTCTTCCACAGGATTATTGGGTAACTCAGATGAGATAATAAATTGAAAGGCTTATTGCAAACTACTGAGGTTGACCGAAAGGTCAAACATCATGACTCAAGTTGATTTATCCTTCTGTATTTGACCTTCAGTTGTACCTCCAAGATACACCGTGGAACTGGCCTGTGGATTTGGCGTGACAATTGTGCTTATCATCATTCTGATTGTGGTGTACCACGTCTACTGGCTAGAGATGGTCTTGTTCTACCGGGCTCACTTTGGGACAGATGAAGCCATTTTGGGTAAGCAATCCACCTTTTTATAAACAGCTTTTTCTGCTCTCTTTAGACCAAAGGTTTCACAAAACTTGTTCATAAAATCTTAGAATTATAGACTGAAACCTAGAAGTGGCCTTCGAGGCCACCTATTCCACTGAGTCCTTTAAGTTGTTCTCTTTTGATGATTGAATATCTTATGATACCTTGAGATGATCATTATTCTCATGAAGCTCCATTGTATTGGACTACACCAAAAACAAAGCCCCAAACTCATTATGCCTGAGCCAGGGATAATCTCTGGGACTAGCATTTTTGGAACAAATCCTTGATATGATTTTTTTTTTGCAATTTGCTAATTTTTCTAATTAAATACGAGCATGGCAAACATGTTCCTGCTAATAGAGCTCAATCTGCTTCACATGTATTAGTTTGATTCTTGGTGAAAATGACAGTATACTTATTTTTCCTTAATTCTAGATAGAAGAAAAATATTGTAAGAGCTTCTTGGTGAAATGACAATAATGATATGAGAAATATATGTGAATCAAGTTTTGAAGAGTGGCATTTTTTTATATTGGGAAAATTTTGGGGAAATCTGCCTTTCTATAGAACTCTTGCTAACTGAATCTGAAGTCCCCAAATTTTAATGGCCTTCATTCCATGACCCTATTCCAGGCATGATGAAACTTTTAATTCATAGGGGGGGGAAAGTGGTAGAGAAGAGAATGTATCCAGTTTATCCTTTCTTTAATCCATAAGAATTTCTGGATTGTGGTGGAATCTTAACATTTTTGCATGTGAAAATGACCACTTTATAGTGATGTCTAATGCTAAAAAAATTATCTTGGGGTGAAGTGGTAGACCTGGGGAATTCTCCTCAGCTTAGCTCTTTGTACAACCAAAAATGAAGCAGATATTGATGTCAAATTTGGTTTATTTCATTGATATCTATTCACTCATATGGTGGGTCCATGAATATGTTTATAGATTTGTACAGAATGTATTTCATATATAGGAGTAACCATCTTTAGAATTTAATACTGAGCAATCAATCAATAAGCATTTATTAAAGCACTTGATTTGTGGGGCCCCATGTGGCCATCTAGGTCCTTGACTTGTGGTCTTTTGACTGAGTCCAAGTTTTATTAAGGGAATTTGTTCTGTAAAGTTTGGATTCAGTCAAAGAGTCACACTTAAAGACCTATAGACCTATGTGGCCTTGATGCCACAGGATCCCCACCCCTGTGCTAGGGGTTACAAAGAAAGTCAAAAACAGGGTCCTTGCTCTCAAGTAGCTCTCACTTTCTTGGTTATGGTTGCTGCATTTCATAGATGGAAGGAATTTTAGAGACTGTCTATTCCAGCTCAGACCTTAAAAAATGACCCATTTTACAATGTACCTGACAAGGGGTCGGTCTATTTGGTCTTGTACCCATCATGCACGTTTGTATGGCCCCAACATGGCCATATTGTTTGCTGTGAAATCTGAACTACATTGAAATGGAGTATCACATAAAATTAAATTTTATTAGATCTTTTTCTCAAAATAGCTACTTGTCCTGGAGAATTGTTGCTAATAGCTAATTAGATCTGCCAAATCACTCCCAGCTCATAGGATCACAAACGCTTCATTTCAGAGCTGGGAGAGACCTTCGAGGCCATAGAGTCCTACCCCTTCCTTTGGGTGGTGAGGAAGTTGAGGCATATAGAAGTTAGTCCAAGTTGGATACCTTGCCCAGGGACATGGAGCTAGATAGTAAAAGAAAAGGTGTCTCACATTCAGGAGCTAGATTTAAGGGTGCAAAAGGGTCTCCAAAAAGAGGAACTTTCCTAGCTGGTGACAGGTCTTGCATGTATGTTTTCTTTGACTAGATGGCAAGGAGTATGATATTTATGTTTCGTATGCACGGAATGCTGAGGAAGAGGAATTCGTCCTTCTGACTCTCCGCGGAGTCCTGGAGAATGAATTTGGATACAAGCTATGCATCTTTGACAGAGATAGCCTGCCTGGGGGAAGTAGGTATTCCCATGAGCAATGGCTGGAGAAGCCAGTTTTCTCATCCCCAGCTTCAGAATTGGGATTAGTATTGTTTCCTGCTTCTACATAGGCCCTTCTAATCATCCCATCCTATCCACCAAACACTCTTGATGTGCCTACCTCCTAGGTCCCAGTCACTCTCCTGAGCGGCAGCGCTCCAGACAAAAACAGGATAGCCCCGCCTTCAAGAAGCTTACATTTCTTCTGGGGTGAAACAACACAGCCACGATTTATTTTAATACAACCAGAATTTATTAAATATCTATTTAAATGAGATATGATAGTAAAGCACGTACCTTATATTGCTTTATAAATGGTAGCTAGGATGATGATGATAATAATAATTATCATTATTATCATTACTCTTTGACAGTCAACAAGCATGTATCAACACACACTGTGTCATAGGCACTGTGATAAGCAATATAGATACAAACAAAAGTTAAAACAAAAACAAAAACAAACAAAAACATGGCTGTTTCTCTCAAGAAATTCTCATTCCAATGTGGGAAAACTACATATAAAAACTGTACAGACTCCATATGAGGCATTGAGGATCCAAAGACTGAAATGAAACAACTTCTGCCCTCAAGGAACTTACATTTTCCTGAGTGAAACTCAATTTGAATCAATGCATATTTATTAAATACCTACCATATACTAAGAACAACAGCTACAAAAATGCAAATAGAACAGTTCCTGCTTTAATAAACTTACATTCATATGGCTTTTTATTTTTGGACATGGTAGAAGGTAATAATGTAGAAAAGGTTATTCCAATTTAGCAGGGCCCTCACCATTTCCCAGGTCAAATATGGTTTAAGGAGTGTTTCACAGTCATCAGCTCATCAAGGCTATCTGAGAATGCAAAGATGCCAACTGTAGGCAATCCTGAAGATGTCCTTGCCCACTCTTTACAAATGTCAGGCCAGACAGTCAGTAAACATTTATTAATTGCATACTGTGTGTCAGGCACTGTGCTAAAGACTGAGAGTACAAAAAAGAAGCAAAAGACAATATTTGCCCTTGAAGAGCTCACAATCTAATGTGAAGACAACCAGATAATTTGTGCAAACAAGCTATGCACAGGCTAAAGAGGAAATAGTGGAGAAAAGGCACTGGAACTGAAAGCATTTGGGAAAGGCTTCCTATAGAAGGTGGGGTTTAAGCTGTGTAATGAATGAAGGAAGCTAGGGAAGCCTAGAGGTCCTTGTAAATGGTAGGGTGACTCCCATTGTGTCTGGCCCGTGTCACTTTTCAACAAGCAACTATTTCAAAAATTTCTATGTGCTAGGCACTATGTTAGGTATTGGAGAAACTAAGACAAAACAGGGCAATCTTTATCCTGAAGGAGAATTACTCTGCATCTTCGAATTTCTCAAGCCAAAGACTTCCTGAGAAAAGCTTAGCAGATTTCAAGGACAGCACTTAGAACAGATATTATATTATTTTGGGTCATGGACACTTTTGGACAGTCCAGGAAAGCCTATGGACCTCTTCTTAGAATTGTGTTTTTAAATAGTTGAGAGAAATGCTAAATTTCAGCTAGATGATAAAGAAAACAAAGACATGCCCCCTCACCCCACCCCATCCGAGTTTGTGATCTCCCTGAAATCTTTCCATAGACTTGTAGGGAGGTCTACGTATCCTAGGTTAAGAACCTCTGCCTTAAAGAGTTTCATTTTTAGATCAATTTCTGATGCCTCTTTGGTTGGATTGGTGCTCATTTCTCTCTCTTTAATTCCATGGTAGCATAGAAAGGAGCTATGCCCTTCCCACTGCCTTAGATCCTTCCTTTAACTTTGCTCTTAGAGTTCTCATGAGATGATAGGATCATAGGTTGAGAGTTGGAAGAGGCTTGTGAGATTATTTCATCCAGGGCTTCTTAACCTGCAGTCTGTCCATTTTAAATAAATAAGGAGATGAATGAATGAATTGAGAAATGAAATATAAATTCTAATTGTTATTTAATTGAAATATTTTAAAATTTTTATATTTAAATATATTATTTAAATATTTTTAATTAAAATTTAAAATTTTAATTTTGCTTTATCTGTACAACTCCTGTCTCCTTCCCACTACTTTGCACATTCTCAGAAAATAGGCTAGACATTTGTTCAGATGGACAGGAGGAAGGATGCCCCACTGTAATAAGTCTACAATTCAGAATGTTTGCAAGGAAATGCAGCTTTGCTCCTGAAGAGCCCTTGGAATATTGCCAAACAGTGGCGAACAGAGTTGCCACATGAAGGTCCTTGCAGGCCCGCTTTCATATGCCGTTAAGAATCCGTTTTCATTAGCTTATCCCTCGAGTGGTAACTGGCGAAGTGTCTGAACCCAGCGATCTGTTCTCTTCAGCAGCTGACATCTCTTCCCCAGCTTGCCTTCACTGTTGTTAATGGCAGCTGTAGCACAGTGCCTGGCACACAGTAGGTGTTTAATGAATGACTCAATTCCCATGAATCACAGACACCTCCCCCCC